TTGGCTTTCTGAATGTCCTCTTTTAAAAGGTGTCTATTTAGGTCCTTTGCCCATTTTTTGATTGGATTGTTTATCTTCCTTTTGTTAAGTTGTATGAGTTCCCTATAAATGTTGGAGATTAAACCCTTATCGGTGATTACATTGGCAAATATGTTCTCCCATGAAGTGGGCTTTCTTGTTGTTTTGTTGATGGTTTCTTTTGCTGTGCAGAAGCTTTTTATTTTGATGTAGTCCCATTTGTTTATTTTCTCTAGTTTCCAATGCCCTAGGAGATGTATCCGTGAAGAAATTGCTTTGGCATATGTCTGAGATTTTGTTGCCTTTGGATTCCTCTAGTATTTTTATAGTTTCCCATCTTACATTTAAGTCCTTTATCCATTTTGAGTGTATTTTTGTGTATGGTGTAAGTTGGTGGTCTAGTTTCAATTTTTGGCATGTATCTATCCAATTTTCCCAACACCATTTATTGAAGAGACTGTCTTGACTCCATTGTATGCTCTTGTCTCCTTTGTCAAATATTAATTGAGCATATTGGTTCCGGTCGATTTCTGGGCTCCCATCTAAAAATTCTTACTATAGAATGGAAAAACTGATATTAGGGAACAACTAGTAGTCTTTCTGCTACAAATGAGAATAGATGTTGCTTAATATGAGCATGGCGATAAGAAACAAACAATAGACAATTGTAAATCATTGAAAGTATTTTAATTAGCCAAGAGAATGATGTCTGCTGCCCTAACATTGTTTAGGGAGTTCTGGACAATGCTATTATGCCAAGAAAATAATGCATATAAATTCTGGAAATGAATATAATTTTTTTGGAAAGAAATTTTTACTTTTTTCATTATAGATTATATTTTCTAGCTAGAAAAATAAACTAAAATACTGTCAGAAGGAAAAGAAAGTTCAATTAGGTTGTCAATTTCGTATATCTGTATGAAAATGATTTATCATCTACCAGCAATGCCCAATAGAATATATGGTAGGTGTGCTAGTTTTTAATTTGTCTGTCAGCCCCCAATACACTCATTTTGTCCTTTGTGATACTGATGCCTTCTGGATCCTGTAGACATTCCTCCTTTGCTAGTCAATATGATGTTAGTTTTTGCCAATAGAGGGCGTTGGTAGAACACTATAAGGCCATTCTTGGAAAAGGGGACTTTCAAGTTTCTTCTTCCCCTTGTCCTTTTCCATTGAGGCCAGTAGAGGGAGGGGAACCCAGTAACATCCACTTCAGCTGTTTGATAGAACAGTCTTGGCTCATGTCCTCCAGCAAGTTCCCCAAGGGAATGCAGCAAAGTGTATGTAGAAATACAGAAAAAATGGAAACTAAATGCCCAATAGTAAGGGGCTTTAAATAAAATATGCAACTTTCATGCTATGGAATAATACAGCTTGAAAAACAGATGCATTCTTTTATTTATAAATGCTGATATGGAAAAATATCCCTGATTGACTTTTTAGTCAACAAAACATTATTTTCGGGGAGGGAGAGGTGGAGGAGGGTATTGGGGGATAAATGGTGATGGAAGGAGACTTGACTTGGGATGGTGAACACACAATACAGTGTACAGATGATGTGTTATGGAACTGTGCACCTGAAACCTGTATAATTTTGTTAACCTGGGTACCCCCATAGATTCAATAAAAAGGAAAAAACAAAAAACGACAAAAGATTACTTATATAAAATGATTCCAGATTTATCCTCACCTGAGGATGTTTTTTATTTGTTTGTTTGTTTGTTTGTTT